TTAATTACCTTTCAATTTTTAGACCTACTTTGTCTACTTTGAAAGTGTTTGAATATGCCAGCACTTTGCTGTCCTGATGTAAAGCATTACCAGTAAAGTGGTCTGTCCATGCTACAACACCTTTAAATTGTATATATAATTTTATAAATGATAAAAAATCTGTTTCTAGTCTGTGAAAAAAACACACTAGCATAGCACACTGCAATCTTGAAAGGATTTAAAATATGTGATTTCTGCTGGTACCTACTGTATTGGGTTTTATATAAAGCTTTTTTCAATAAGGTAAATTGTTACATGACAAACTCATCTTCCACCATTATCATCTGCTGTTTGTGTTTAACAACAGGAGTCCTGGTCTAACAAAACTGTTGTAATGGCTGTACAAATTACTCAGCTGAAAGCTTTTCACCAAACCAAACAGTATTAATCAGCAGTTCTTATGAAGGTGCTAATTAAAAACAATTTTCTTCCTCAGTTTGCAATACTAAGCCATCTTCATTTGCACAGTTTCCAATATACAGCTACTGTATACACTCACACTTCAGGGCCTCTATTAACTATTGAATCTCCTATTACCTATTTTATTACATTCCTGTCTCCCAAGTTTAGAAGCTTGTTGACATTTTAGAAGTCACAGCATGATATGTTTAATCATTTTAAAAGTACATTAATTGAAGTCAGAGTCAGAGAAAAATAGCAGGTCTTTTAGCACGTGGGCTCTGGCAGGGCACAGCACCGGCTGAATGCTCCAATCCCTTCCTGCTAGCATAACCCATCACCCAGAGGAAATTTTACAGCTGAAGGGGAACATGTCTAATGCAGAGAACACTTTTTCTATTTTTTTTTTAAGAAGCGGTCTTCCACGAGTGACACTAGCCTGGTTTTCTACGGGGAAATATATTCAAATGATGATACTTTTTGTTACCCAAGTTATACTGCCCCTCCTCTTTCATCAGCTGCGATAGCTCTTTATTTTTGGGGGCTTGGCATCTGTTGAGTTTAACCCAGATTCGAGGGTCAAGATGTTTCTTCTCAGGTTGTGGAATGCCATCTGGATGACTGTTCTGTGCATCTTTCCTCCACTTTTCCTACTCTTTTACACACAGGAAGACAATGCAGATCCAGTGTCGCTGTTGGGCAGAGATGGAAAATATCCAGCTTGTACCCAGCCACAACAATATGCTGGGCCTTTTGGCAGCAAGCCAGCTGCTGACTAAGCAAGGAGCCTTAATAGGCGAAATCCTTTAAAAATGGAAAAGTTAGGTTTGTTACATTCAGCTGTTTGAACAGAGTCTGCAGGTCAGGGAGGGAGGCTGATCTTGTGGAGGAGATGCAGCACTCAGTCTTACAAAACCCAGGATCAGTTATAGAGCATATTTGCTGCTTTCTAAATGTCTATAAGCAAATGAGGCAGTAATATGCCTGCTCCCTCATGTGGGGAATGGGCATGAATTAGGGGGGCACCCTTTATTTATGCATTCAGCTTCAAATTCATTGAGTCTTGTATTGGCTTTCTTTGAGCTTTATGGGGTCTCGCATCAGGGTGCCCTCTTTTTGGCTGGGTTAAGTAAGTGTTGTTGCAGTGCAGATGAGAGTAATATTGAAAATCAGCATTTAAAACCATTTTTTAAAACACGCCGGTCTGCTTACAATGAATGCTACTGACTTGTGACAGCAAAGGGCTGACAAATCACCTTCCTCAGAGTTGGGAGAATCTAAAGGGAGAATTGCAAGCTAGAAAGGGACAAAACTGTCCCCTCGTCTACTGAGGGAATAACACAGGATGGCTGTGCTGCACAGAAAACATTTCCAGTACAATCACCAGCAAACGCTCTCCTAGCACCTTTCACCAGCATCTCAAAACATTTCACAGGAGTTAAAGGAATTTGCAGTTTGACATCACCGTTCATTCCCCAATTTCAAGAAGAAAACCACACGTCGAGAAACCCAGGCTGAGCTATGCATTTGTAATTTGCCGTGTGAGAAGACAAGGATCTGGCTGCTCTCTCTCATGCATAGGAAGAGCAGGCAAAGGACGGTAATAATCGTGGCCCTCTTTGACTTGCAGAGTGCCGCTGCCCTCCCAGCTGAGTGCCACCTGCCACACCGAGGGGTGGACCAGGAGCTCCACCCAACACACTGCTTTTTTTCAGGAGCAGCCGAGGAGGCTCACAATGGCGATGTAACACTTGGTAAACCTTACACAGCCAGGATGCTTTTTGTGTGGAGAGCAATTTGAATCCCACTTCCCTCCTCATGCAAACACACAGCCATTAAGCCACAGGCAAAATGCGAATGACTTGTCTAATAACAATTTCGCAGCTGGACAGGTACCTGGGGTAGCAAGTTCTCCTGCCTCATCTCACATTCCTGAGACATTTTCATTTCCAATCAAACTTACTTCCTGAATGAAAAGATTTGCTCTGTTATTCCAGAGTGCTAACAGATAGAACTAATTTGTAATTTTTAAGAAAGCCCTGATCTTGTGTCAGACTATGGAATGGAATTTGCTTTTCTTGGTCTTTCGTACTCTCAAGATCACAACATACTGACAATGGCACTAGCTGCACTAGAGCTGCACCCAGAGAAAGAAGATCCTTTCTCTGCCATTTTCCTCTGCGAGAGGAGGAAGACAACAATATTGCTCTAAAAACTAGCAGTATATCTGAAAATAGACTTGCATCAGCCTTGCATTCCCATTCTCTCTCAGTAAAGACAGCATAGCTCATTCGTGTTGCTCATCTTCAAAGTGCTTTGCAAGCACAAAGTGATTAAGCTCAATATTCTGCTACTGAGCAGAGTAAAATGTATCATTAAAAATACACCAAGTATCAGATGCTAGTTAAAGCACGCCACATGAAAGACTCTGACACATGTTATAAGAATGATTTGATAAGCTGTCTAACTTTTTCTTAGCAAGGATATTTGATGTATTTAGAAACATCACATACACTTTTCGAAATTAAAGAGCTCAGAAACAATTTATCAAATCCCTACTGAAGTGAGGGACTCCGAGAGATGTCTTTAAAGAAATAACACTGTTAGCACATCACTAACAATATATCCTACATTTTAGACTTTTCAATACTCTCTTTAAGGCAAAAACAAAAACAAAAACAAACAAAAAAAGAAGAAGAGAGCTGGCTTATATACCTCTAAAAACATCCAAATGGCACAAACCTGCAAACACTTACATAGATGAGGAACTTTGCTGCCTGTGGAGCTCCTATGTGAGTTTGCAGGATGAAGCCTATATGCATCTTTGGTAAACAAGCCATCAATTACACACTTTAAGGACAGCAGCACCTGTGCAAAGCCTCCAACACAAACTAGGGAAATAAAAGCAGTAATCAGCTACTATTTTGAGTAAAACTATTTTCTTCTTAGAGCTAAAAAGATGATTTTCAGTGACACTGGCAGCTAATAATATTTATTAGATTATTGTTACAGCAGACATTCAAGACCTCTCAGAAATAAAAGGTCCACAAATTGTAATATTTCACTATTTTTTACACTCCTTTGTTGATTGGAAAGATTTCCTTGTATGTGTTTTTAGAGAAAACAAACACGTATGTGATTTTAGAGAAAGCTTTGCTGTATGGGACACATAGAACAAAAGAAAAATGGAATTAAAGCCCACCTTTACAGCAATTTTAAATAACTCTCAATTACTTCTCATTTCCTGCTAGACAGGTATCTTCCAACTAGAGTTTGAATATGAAACTCATACCAGCTATAAGGGAGATATACTACTGAGTTCCAGTATAAATGGTTGGTTTGCATTGCCCCTGGTCTTTATCTAACACTGAGAATAGGCTGCTTTTTATCAAAAGAGGAATAAATTGCTGTTATTGTGATGTTAGCCCATCACTTGGCATTGCAATTCAAGTTTTTGTGAGAAAGAAATGTATGATCTAACTGCGACTTGACCTATGCCTTCTGAGATCCATCTAGGTGCTCTAATGGAGCATAAAAAGTATTGAATACAAGGACATGCAAACCGGTAGTGAAGAAATTTGAGCAGAAGTGCAAAGAGAAAAGGACCTTCATGAGCTTGTGGTTTACATGCTGCCCAATTTGTTGAATATGGAAGAACACTTATTACCTAACTGCAATTCTTTTAATTAATATACTCAGCATTCTCTCTGCTTCCTAGATAGTACCTCCCTCTTTCAGTTATACTCTTTCTCTTTTTCATCATTTTAAAATTGTTCTGGCTTAAGCGTGCAGGATTCTGTAATGATTCTGGCTTTGTTTTTGTCAGAAGTTGGTAAAACATTCTATGAACCTGTTAAGAGAAAAAGAAATAGTTCCTGTCTCTTGGGAGGATTTTTTCTTTCGCAGCACAAGAAGTCATATTAAATGTTTATCAAACTCTTGGGCCATGATATGTCACAATGCAAATTAATTTGAGCGAGGCAGTTTGATTACGTTACAAACTCCTTTAGTTGTTAGAGTCTTTCTCAGGATCTATCAAAAAAGGATGTATTTTTTGAAGTGATTTTCAGAATAGTAGCATTTAGATTTTAGTCCTGATAAAGGCTCACTTTCCATTCATAGTCAGAACCTAAATGTGCTCTTCTTGTACCTAAACAGATAATAAGCACTCAGCACACTCCCCCTTCTTGACACAACACACTGAGACTAATCACACATAATTGGAGAGGAGGAGCAGAGGGGCTGGGCAGGCTATTGTGTCCAAAGGACAAATGGTCAGTTTATGAGGCTTTTGTCTGACGCATAATTTCTTATACGTCTAGAAGAGGAAAAGTCTTGCTGGAAAAAAAAACCCCACACAGACATCCCTATATGTATTAAAAAAAAAAGCCTTCATCACAGCAAATAAGGACACTTCAATTATCGACAGAAAAATCAATGGCCGAATTTAAAAAACAAAGGGAATAAAAATCTGAGGATGTAGTAGGTGCACCTTTTAAACATTTTAAGACAACCACTTCCTTACTAATGAAAGGTGAATGCATTTATCACTTTACAGGCAG